TTCTCTGTAACCACCTGTCGATCTTGGATTGCTTTCTGGAACAGTCAATCCATATATAATACAGATAAAGTCCCTCTTGCAGATAATCCTGGCAGGTGCCTAGAAGCCGTAGGTAGGCCCTCTTGAGTCTTCTGGGCTAAATAAAGTGTTTGGTTCTTTGGGTTATTCTTAGGCCACCATCCTGATTTCTGGTCTCTACCCCTAAGCCATATCCCAGACTCCTAGAAATTAAAATTCTGTTTATTTTTTGTTTGAGATAGTTCATATAGCTGAAAATAAAAGCAATATAAAGAGTAAATTCCCATTTCCCTGCTCCAAGAAAGCCATTATTGTTTCTTGTGTATTCTTCCAGTGATTCTTTATAAAAAGCAAAATGAAGAAGTATATATCTTTAATACCACCCTTTAAAAACTTTTTAAAATGTGAAATGATAAAATATGTAGAAATTATAAATATTAAGTGCACAGACTACAATATTAGTATGGAGGACCACCTCAGCGATTCTCCAACAAAGAAGAGTGATTATGTTTTAGCTAGACCTGGCCCTGTTTCCATGTACTGATATGTACAGAGCTGGCTAGGACTTTTCCTTTGTCCTTCAGGTGGCTTTAAGGAATGCTGAGCCATCCATGCAGGTGCTGATGTGTGGTCTCTGAAGCAAAGATGACAGGGCAGCACCCCTCCACAGCTCCCAAATAAAATATGTATAAGCTTAGGCAAGTTGAAGAGCCTAGGCTGGATAGAGAGCTGGGCTCCATGCTGTCAGCCGGGATGAACCTCAGGATAAGAGGCTGTGACTTCCCAGGGCATAAAAGATTACACATCAAAGCTGAAGTGCCCACCCCAAAACATCATATACTACCTCAGCTGTGTCATACAGCTTATGCTTTCTGCATAGCTTTCTCTCTGCATATTGCAGAGGTGATCGCAGGCCTTCTCGCTAGCCCAGTGCACAGCACTCACATATTCCCCTCAGTTGTTCATCCCCAAGCCACTCCCTTCTTGGTTTTTTTTGTTTGTTTGTTTGTTTTGTTTTTTAATGTACAGGGTCTCACTATGTAGCTTGGACTTGTGGTGATCCTCCTGTTTTCAGCCTCCCCAGTGCTAGGATTATAGGTGTGCACTACTACACCAGGTCTTGGTGGCTGGCTCAGCATGCCTAGGGGTGGGGCCAGCGCAACATGTACTGGCAATTGAACCCTGGTCCCTGCGCTTGCCTAAGCAGGCAGTTAGTCCACTAAGCTATCTCACGGCCCTTTCTTCTTGAATTAATAAAACTGGAGTTTAGCCCTAGGTTGAGGCCTTTGTTCTGATTAGATATCATCATGCATGGTCTTAGGACCCCTTGACTCCCATAAGTACAAATATGCCTTAGTGTCTTCATTCTCAGCATGGGTTACACTGGTAGTGGTAGGTTGGAATTAACTCACTAGAATTCCAATAACTTTCTCTATGGGATTATAAATATAAACTTCCCAGACCATAACAAGGAGTGAATTATGAGATAGTGGATTGTGAGATAGCCATCACTTGTGGCCCACCACTCTTACTACACATACCCTAAGGAATGGAGTAGTGCCAATATCCATGGCACCTCTTTTGTGGCTCCTCTCTTCTTTCCAAAAGTAATTGCTATGCTGATTTATAGCTCTAGAGTTTTATGTCTGTTGGATTATGGTACCAAGGATGGAACCCAGAGCCTTAACACTGAGCCACATACTCAGCCTTTTTATATGCTTTGTTTTTGATACTTAGGGGTTTTTTTGGTTTCTTTGTTTATTTAATTATTTTTTGAGACAGAGTCTTGCCAAGTAGCTTAGGGTGGCATGGAACCCACAGAAATCCTTTTTCTTCAGGCTCCCAACATTACAGATATGCACCACCATGCCCAGCTTGCATGTTTTATTTTTGAGACAATGCTAATTTGCTAAATTGCGTAGGCTGAGTGAGCACTTGTGACCTCCCACTGTAGCCTTTCTGAGTTCTGGGATTATAGGCATGTAGTACCAGGACCACCTAATCTTATGTATTTTTTGTATTTTGTTCAATATCATATCCTTGAGATTTATCCACATTGTTGAATGCAGATGTAGTTTACTCATTTTAATTGTTACATAGTATTACATTTTATGAATATACCACAATTGAATGATCCTTCTGTGTACAACAGTTAGCTGTTGTGAGTATGGATAATACTGCTATGAATATTCTTGTGTATATTTTTTGGTATTGTGAGTATGTGGGTATTTTATTAGATATCTTTCTAGAAGTGGAATTACTAGGAATAGGGTATGTGTATGTTCCATGTCAAAAGATGTCAGCCAGTTTTCTAGAGTGGTGGTCATGCGGAGTGATTTGGTTCAGTTCCATTCTTCCTGCTAGGATTTTGCCCTTGAGGAATTATTCAACTGAATAGCCTTTCAATTGCATCCTTGAAAATAATTGAGATAATCCTGAATAAAAAGGGCAGGAAGTACCTACTGGTCTTCAATGAACTTTTACTTCTTAGCCTGTAATTTGTCATTGCCTTCTTTGTTCTCTGATGCTTTCAGACAGATGCCTTGATTTTTATATTTTGTCTCTCTTCTAGTTGTGAGCAAATGGGTTGTGTCCAATTACTTAGTGTACCAGAACCAGAAGTCTTTTTCTTTATTTTGTGTGCAAAAATGGCATAGTACATACGGTGTTCTGTATTTTGGGTTGTCCATTTAACCATTTTTTTGAAACCTTCCTTTATCAATATAAGTGGTAAAAACGTCCTCCCTGCCCTCTACTCATGCGCTGTATGTTTCCTTAACCAGTCTTCTCCTGGTGAATATTTGAGATGCTTGCAATAATTTACTGTTACAAGCAAAGCTATAATGGTTTCATTAGTTATTAAGAAAAGAGGTTTATTTAGCTCACCAATGTATAATCTTACATAATTTGATGTGATGTATTTTAGGTTAAATTTCCTGAATTGGGCATTCTGGGAAAGGATAAATGTATTTGTAATTTTAATTTGTCCTACACAAAATTTCACCTATTTCATATATATATATATATATATATATATATATATATATATATATATTTCACAAAAACAAAGTTTTGCCAAATGTTTCTGTTGAGAACCAAATCATTTACAAACAAAAGCATTTGTGAATCAAGGCACCACACACATGATGTTGCTTGTTCATAGGTTTTTTTTTTTTTTTCAGAACCAGGGATTAAACTCAGGCTCTTGTGCTTGCCAGGCAAGCGCTTATACTACTGAGCCATCTCCCCAACCCCTGTTCATAGTTTTCTAACAGAATATTATCAAACCTTATGATTTTGCCAGTTAAATGCTATGCCAGTTCAACTTGCGTTTTTTAAATATGTGAGATTTTTTTTCTTTTTCTGTGGTTTTGTTTTTTCTGTGTTGTCTGATCTTGCCTTTACCCAATTTCTTCAGTTGTTTTTAAAATATATTAAGGAAAAAGAATGATAACTAAGAAAAAAGAAGCAAAAGATAAAAATAAAAAAATAGATTGTAGAGATTAGGCCTTTTTTGTAATATGTCTAGTTAGATATTATCAAATTGCATCCTTTCAAGGACTTCCTGTGATGATGTCAGTGGGCCAATGATGCCTATTGGCTCATAAGTAGTAACTGAAATTTCTAACTCCAATGAGACCTTTTGTCTGTATTCTATGTAGTTCTTTTTTTTTTTTTTTTTTTTTCATTTTTAATGTATTTAGTATAGGGTTTACAGGGTCTCACTAACAGATTGGACTCATTGTGATTTTCCTGTTTTTAGCCTCCGAAGCACTAGGATTACAGGTACACCACCACACCAGTCTCAACCATGGTCTCAGTGTGCCCTGGGGTCAGGCCCAGCACAGTATGCTGGGGATTGAACCCTGGTCACTGTGCTCTGCCTAAGCAGGTGCTTTAGTATGCTGAGCTATCTGGCCAGCCCCTTTTGTCTGTATTCTAAACTAATAAATCCAATTGTCTACCTCACATCACTACTTGAAGGCCTCAGATGGACTTCCAAAGTACATATATCCAAAGTGAATTAAATTTTCCATTTAATTGATGAAGAAATTGAAGTAGAGTAAGATTATGTAAGTTGCCTGTTGTCTCCCAGTAGTGATAAACACAGGATTTAAACTAGTTATCTCTGACTATATGTTTGCACATTTTTTTAAATATAATTGGTATAGCATCTCACTACGTAGCTCAGACTCATAGTGATCCTCCTGTTTTCAGCCTCGCCAGTGCTGAAATTACAGGTGTGTGCCACCACACCTGGTCTCGGTGGTTGGCTCAATGCACCTGGGGGTGGCACCAATTGTGGCATGTGGTGCCAGAGATTGAACCCAGTCCCTGTGCTTGGCTAGTCTGCTGAGTTAGCTTGCTGGCTCCTGTTGGCACTTTTAATAGCACTGTTTTAATTGCTTCACAAGGCTAGCGCAGGCAGGAAAAACATCTTTATCTTCAGGTTCCCTGTATTGGCCTAAAACTTAATTTGCTTCCTTTGCTTTTCTTTATCCTCATTTTAATAAAATTTTATTTAGTTACTAGTATGTGGCAGGCAGTAGAGATATAATATTGTATAATTTGGTTTCTGCCCTCTAATAGTCTTAAGAGAGAAGAAACAATTACCCCCCAAAATTGCAATATTATATAATTGCTATATCTTATTAGGGAAAGAGAGGGTTTCATGAAAGGCTTCAGAAAGGAGATGAGTAGAGTTGGGTGTTAGAGGATGATTTGGAAGTTCAGGTAAAGTAAGGAAGAACATTGTAGATAAAGGGGAAGCATGTGAAACAGGTAGCATTGCCTCTTTCCAGCTTTGTAAGGGATTCTATAATATTTGAAAATTTAGTGACTACTTGAGCTTTATAATTTTATAGCTATCAATATCATTTATTTCTTGCCTATGAAAAATATGAACACTTTTATGAGCTCATTCACATTCTTTCCCTCCTTTCCTTTCTTCCTTCTTTCTCCTCTCTCTTCCCCTTGTCTAGTGGGAGCCCATGAAACCACTGATGGAAGCCATGTTACCTGGGCATCGCACCATGAACCCCTGTCCTGTGTGGGAGCAAAAGAATGGCTGTGTGTACCTGTTCTTCATCTGTGTCCAGAGCCATGTCACTGAGCGTCATCAGATTATGACAGGCAGGAATGCCGCCCGCCTCTGCCTCATCTACAGCCAGGATGCTGGATGTTCATGGAGTGAAGTGAGGGACTTGACTGAGGAGGTCATTGGTCCAGAGATAGAGCATTGGGCCACGTTTGCCGTGGGCCCTGGTCATGGCATCCAGCTGCAGTCAGGGAGGCTGGTCATCCCTGCATATGCCTACTACTTCTCTCATCGGCTCTGTTGCTTCCCGTTAGCATGCAGAGTCAAACCTCATTCCCTGATGATCTACAGTGATGACTTAGGGGTCACATGGCACCATGGCAGGTTGATCCAGCCCCTGGTGACAACAGAATGCCAGGTCGCAGAGGTGACCAAGGCATCTGGTCACTCTGTGCTCTACTGTAATGCCCGGACACCAAACAGGCGCCGGGTGGAGGCCCTTAGCAGTGATTGTGGTGAATACTTTGAGGCACAGGCCCTGAGCCAACAGCTTTGTGAACAACCCCCACATGGCTGCCAAGGCAGTGTAGTGAGTTTCCAGCCCCTGGTGATCCCAAATAGATGTCAGAACTTTAGTGACAAAAATACTCCCTCCACTCAGCAGAGCCCTCTGCTGGGCAGTGCATTGGAACTGAAGGAAGGAGTTGGAACAGCGTCAGAAACATGGCTCTTGTACTCACACCCAACCAATAAGAAACATAGAGTTGACCTGGGCATCTATCTCAACCAGAGTCCCACAGAGACTGCCTGTTGGTCTCATCCCTGGGTCTTGCACCATGGGCCTTCTGGCTACTCTGATCTGGCTGCTCTAGGGGAAGAGGGCTTGTTTGGGTGTTTGTTTGAGTGTGGGACTGAGGATGAGCTTGAGCAAATTTCCTTCCGCCTATTTACAGAAAAAGAGATCCTGGGCTATGTGAAGAAGGACTGACCAGGCTGTATATAAACCTGTGCCAATTCAAGACTAATTGTCTGAGGGACCCAATTTTCCACAGAAGGGATAGCAGAGGTTACTGATGTCTACAGAAAATGCAAAAACTTAATATTTTGTTTCATAACATTTTTCTCTTCTCCAAAGAACAAAATGAAAAGTTTCCCATAGCTATTGCATCATACAGGTCACTACGCTTGGAGTTGGGAAACCATGATGTCATGCTGGCTTTGCCATTGGCCTGCTTTTGGACCTTGGACATGTCCCAGGAACTTTCTAGGTCTCAGGTCTCCATCTGTAAAATGAGGACAATGGTTCTGTGATTTCTTGTCTTCCATTACTAGAATAAGCACAGTGTTGGCATGCTCCCTGCTCAGGAAGTCCGGCTGCATAAAGGTACTCTGTCACGTGGAAATCAGAGGATTTCTCTTTTCAGATGACTCCTCACCTCGATATGAAGTTACACACCAGCATCAAGGCAAGATCAGGAAAGTTTACTCATTTTTAATAACAAAACCATCCTTCTCATTCTGCTCTGAGCTCTGCAAGTGCTCTAAAAATTGAACAAGACAGTAGAGTCATGAAGTCACTTGCCTTCTCCAGCATTGCAGCTCTGCTCAACCTTTCCTCTTCATCCAGAAAAGGTTATCTAGGGAGAAAACTGAGAAGCTCAGTGTGAGTGTCCCTTGACAGTGGTGATTATTGTTTCTGGTGCCAGTACCTTTGTGAAAGATGAGCCTGAAATTCATTTAACCATTAAGGATAGTCTCTGTTGGGAAAAGAGACACAGGTTAGGACTTTAGAGCACTGGAAAAACTGGGCATGGTAGTGCTTGCCTAAAATCTAGCAACTTAGGCAGCTGAGGAAGGAGGATCTCTGGGGTCTAAGAATTCAAGACCAGCCTGAGAAACACAAGTCAGATCCTATCTCTAAGACAGGTCTACAAAAAAACCAAACCAAAACAAAACAAAACAAAAAAACTTCCCATGGTATCTGCCCCCTAGGAACTCACAGTTTATGGAGCTAGAGAAGGGATACAATTTGAGGGGAGAATGCTGCTGGTGGATAGCTTAGTGAAGTTGGGCTGTAAGGTGGGCTGAGAGTAGATTGCTTTGTTTTAGTTGCAGTCAGTGCACTGAGAGTCATCTACCCAAGCTCCTTGGTTCCCTCCAAGTTTGTTTTACTCAGAATGTTATTGGAGCCCAGCTATCCTTTACTCTTGGAATTGGTCTTCACCATTAGGAAGATCTTTGGACTGCCAGACCTCTGAATTGGAACCGTATGTGTGTATGCACTGGAATCTACGTGTGAAGTAAGGATGCTTCTCCATCTGGTAGCTCCACGGTCAACCTTAGCAGTGCTGACTATACAGATGATGGCAGGTGGCTATTGTCATAGGAATTCTATGATGAAAAATTTATTTTATTGCTATTGTTATCCCTATTTTAGGAAGGTGATGCCTTAGATTGGTATCAACTAAATGTTTTTACTACTGCATGATGACTATGGAGTGAAGCTCTTTCATGGAATGTAGCTCAGGGCTTGGGGTTGTAGTTATACTAGTCACATGGTCCCATAGAAGGAAAATAGAGATTAACTGCAGACTTCAGCATACTGTTTAGGATTGTGGCTTAGAGTGGCTCAAAATTTCCCTTCATCTGATGCTTTTGCCAGATAACTTTCCTAAACAAAGTTGTGGTCATGCATCTATTCCTGTACAACTTTGTCTCACTATTTCTTGAGTGGCTATACACAATACAGGGTACATTCTTTTTAAAATTATTTTAAAAAAATATTTGATACAGGGTCTCACTATACAGTTGAAACTCATAGAGATCATCCTGTGTCAGCCTCCCCAGCACTGGGATTATAAGTGTGTACCACCACACCCAGTTTCAGGGTAGGCATGGCATACAGTACTGGGGATTGAACTCTGGTCCTTGTGCTTGCCAGACAGGCACTTAGACTGCCAAGCTGTCTCCCTAGCCCTGCAGGATACATTTTGATGCACTTTCTAGATTCAAACCTCTGGCTCACCACTTCTTACTGAATGATGTTTACATTTAACCTCACATAGAGTAACTACCAGCCTTCAGGTAAAAGCAAGACTTTCATTAAATTAGCGAGTGATGGATGCCAGGGGTCTTAGAGTGGGCTGGGTTGGTGGTGCAGGGAAGGATTACAGAAGAAGAGAGAATGAAAAGAGTATCCCCCTCCTGAGAGGCAGAAACTCTGTGGTCAGCAAAGGGAGCACTAGAAAGGAGTAGGAAGTTGGCTAAGATTGTAGTGAGGATACAGGAGGAAAAGAATAAGGAAGCAAGACATCTTTAGGATGACTGCAGAGCTAGCTGAGGAAGGGATCTTGGTTACATGCATGTGTGAGCCAGAGATGCCTAATACAGCACTTATTAATGACCCATGTCTCTGTTGCCCTCTCTCATTCCTTTCCCCTTGCCTCATGTTTGTTTTTCAGTAACTAACAATGGAATTTATACCAGGGGAAAAGCCTGTGTGCTTAAGTCAGGAGACACACACATACACACACAAAGGGCTGGTACATAAGAAATCCAGACAGGACTGGAGATGAGAACAAGAGGGGGTAATGACAGCTGTGGTGAAAAGCAAAGCAGATTTGAGTCCTAGAACCTTTAAGAAGAAAGAGAACATGACACAGAGGGGCCAAGGCTAGAGAGGTTGTGGGTGGTAGCTGCTGTGAAGAAATGACAGTAGATGGGAGCTGTTCCCTGAAACTCTTGGGAAGGGAGGGAGACCTTCCCTGGCTTGCAGCCTTCCAAGGAGGTGCATCCCAAGCCTGTACCTTTAAGCTGACTCAATGTGTCCCTATTCCAAGTGACCAACAATGACAGGTGTAGGCACTCCACCTCTCTGCCTATCACCCAAAGCCTGCATGGCCTTGGGACCAGTCTCATGCTATTGGCACCTTCACTGAGCTCATTTGGATCACCCTCAGGTTGATAGTGTGGAAAAGTTAGGGAAGATGTGAGGAATAAGAGAAAGAAAAATAAGAGAAAAACAAAAAAGGAGGCCTTGATCTTTAGGTATGAGTAGAATACCACGTAGGCTGCAGTCCTTTGTCCTCAGAAGTCCCCTGCCCTGTCTTTTTGACTCTTAAAATAGATCCATCCAGCACATAAGGCCTACCATTGGGTGAATAGGGCAGCATGGGAGGAGCCTCCCGTATCCCGTCACTGGTCACCCCTCAGTTGTGGCATAGGTAAGAGATTTTCAGTCTTGTGTGTTGTGTAGGTCAGCCTGAGGCTGTAGGGTTTGATACTCTGCTTTGGCCAGATTCAGGTGCCTACTCTTCTCCAGTAGGCTGTAAGTTTTCCCCATGGCATGGTTCAGAAATAACATGCCATCCATCTCTGTGCTGCCTGAGCCCTGATCTTGTTCATAGCTGTGTACCATTGTCAGTGCTGTGCCCTCCTAGGCCTCTGTGAGGCTCAGACTCCTTGAGGCACATCTCTGACTTCTCTGTGCTTTTTACCTTGAATCACAACAAATTCTTTTTCTATCCCATTTTGAATTACTGAAGGTAAGGACTGTCTGTAGCCAGAATAGGGCCTACAACAGAGTAGAGAACAAGGAAGATCATGATTGAATGAGTCAAAAACTCTTAAGCTTTTTGCGGGTAATTGAGGCACAGAGAAGATTTTGCATCCCTCTATGAGTTGGTTTTGCAACATTCAAAACCTGCTGAACACTCGTGTTAAGTAAATGTTCTTTGTGCTGGTTTGCTTCCCTCTTAGTCAGCACTTTTTGGAAATGGAATTTTCTGTGGTCCTGCCTGGATATCCTAAGACCCAAAGCCTGAGCCTAAGGCCAAACTGTGATGCAGAACTCTTATTTAGCTGATATTTCCTCTCTGTCCCTGGTGGGATTCTCTGTAACTGCCACTTCTCCATGCCTCCAACGTGCCAAGGCGCAGCATAGCCTAAGTGTGTCTCAGCTCTGTGATGCCAGTTACCAGAAGTATCCTGGGTGCTGTGAAAACTCCTGTCACTCCTCGAATTGAGAATAATGAATAAAAAACTTAAATTCTAGTGACTCCTGTGTTTTGTTAGGGGGACTGAGATGATTATCATCCTAATATGTAGTTGGTGCTCAATTTCTTTTACAGAATAATTCAAGACAATCTCTTATTGTAAGAACTTTTACTTTCAGAAAACTTCAAGCATGACCCTTTATACTTTTGCATATTGTCACACAGACATGCCTGCTAAGGGAGGTAGGGAGGGGATTAGCGTGACTGGATGGTAGCATGTTAGTGCACCCTAGCTCTGAAGTGCAGGGGCCAGGCTGCATGGCATGGCCACCGATTCCAGTTCCAGTGACTGTCACTGCACATTTTAGGCTTTTCAAACACCTTGAACCTATCCTTGCAGTGCTGCTGAAGAAGTTTCCCCAACATGAAAGTTTAAAATCTTAAATAGTTAAACAACAAATTTGATTTAACTCCTAATTTTAATCCAACTTTCTGTTCTATTGGGGTGTTGGATTGGGCCAGATATTTTAGGGCAACTCTTCATGTTTTGTTAGTGGGCCAATCTGTTTTCTTAGATTCATTTTTTTTAATGGAGAAAATGATTTTATATTGTAATTTCCACTAAGTCTAATACATATTTATATACAATTATATAAGCATAAGTTCATTTATAGTGAATGCAAATGAGGCATACAGTCAATAAAACAACATCTTTTTCCTAAATGTCCCTGACATGGGTTGCAGCTCAGAAACAAAGGGCAAAAATTGTATTTCTTTCACATGCACAGGATACCCATGTACCTTTTATGGATAATAACCTTTTAGTGGCCTTGAGAATTAAGAATTTAACTGACTCTCTGGGCCATGTCCTTAGATTTATAGGAACATCTGCCTCTTTGCTTAATAATACAGGGGCTCACCTTTTAAATTAGACTTTTAAAAAATAAGCATTACAGCTTTGAATTTTGATGAAAGGGATTATTTGAGCATTATAATATGCTTTGGAAACATTTTATTTACTGGATAGAAACAGGTATCCTGACAGTAGACTACATGGATTAAAGACCACCTCTGCTTCTTAAAGAACATATTAACTTTAGTTCTTTATCTATAGAATGGGGATGAAAGTTATCTACCTTGGGTTTTTTTTTTTTTTTTTTACATTCTTCTTAGTGGATAATTGATGTACAAGATGCAGACATGATGTCCTATTTACAAACACCATTAGAACATATCATTCTATTCATTAACAGAATGTAACTATATATCTATCCTAACCACCCTGAATACATAGATAAAAAATGGACATTCATCGGTATACTCTTTTTTTTTTTTTTGTTAAATTCAGTTATTTGAATATTATAGGTGTGTAAACTCAGCAAAATATTCTAAAAGAGTCCAGTAGCCCATAATAGTATTGGGTCTTCTGCTTAACTGGCAATGTCAGAAATTGTTAACCTGAGTCCCCCACAGCTCAACATAACAGCATGGCT